TGACAACCCGAGCGGGGCCGTCCGTGCAGTCGGGGAGGCTCCCGGGATTGGCAGCGAGAGATCGTGTCCCGCTAGGACTGAGGAGGGGTCCTCGGGTTGCCAGCCGAGCCTGCCCAGAGCTCTCCCGCCCTCCGTGGTGGGGGGCGGCGGGCAGGGTCCGGGTGCTGAAGTGGCTGTAGTCAGTGGTGCACTGAGTCCAGGCGCGCAGGCCGCTGTCCACCTCCTGGAGAGCTGACACCTCCCACTGCTCCTGGAGACAGCCTCCCCAGGCCCCCAGTCTGCCCTGTGCCCACCCCTCCCAGGGACAGGAAAGGGACCACACGCTGGACAGATGGTAGCAGTGTGCGATCACCCTGGATCTGGGGTGCCCCTCCAGGGAGGTCACAACGCTCGCCAGGCAGTTGTAGTCCCTCCTGGAGTAAAGGGGCTCCTGTGTGGACACAGCCCCATCCGGGAGGAACCCCAGGGAGAGATGCTGCGTGCGGCCCCACAGGCCGACCCACATCCTCCAGGTCCCTGTGTACCAGTGGGAAGGCCCCTAGGGGCGGGGCTCTGATGGCTGAGGGACCTGGCATGGGAGCGCTGTGGGTGGGGCTTCAGCCACAGGGAGAGACACCTGGCACAGAGCCAGCCCTGGTGTGCTGGGCTGTCTGGCGGGGGGAGGAGCTTGGGGTCAGTGCCCCAGCCTGCTGGGTTTCCCGGCCCCCCCATAGTGGATGAGAGAGAAGGGATGGGGTCCTCTGCTGGGTGCTGCCCTGAGCCAGTTTGGATGAGAAAGCAGGAGAGGGTGGAAGGTGGCGGGTTTGTGGTTCCGGGGGGGCTCCAGGAGGTCACTCCAGGAAGCGGGGGCCTCAGGTCTGCTGCATTCACTTACTGGAGGCCAAACCCGACCACTGGAATTTATCAACGAAGGCCCAACATCTGGGGATCTGGCTCACTGGGTTCATGAGGACATGCAAGGTAGCAGGAAGTGAGCAAGCTGTACCATTACCATCCCTTGGTAACTGCTCTCGACCACAGCTGATGAACGTGAAGGGGAAGTTGGGGTGGAAAGTAGGTGCCCCGTGGGCCAAGCTGGATCTCAGGTTCTCCAGGGCCTGGTCCCCCGACAGTGTGTCCAAAGTCTGAGAGATGGAATCTCAGCACTCGGCCCATCAGCGTGTCCAGTCCTCTCCTCCAGGTCCTGTCCTCATTCCCAAGCGCCCTGAGAGCCGGCGCTGGGCTGCTCATACAAGGTCAGCGGGTTCGAAGGAGGAGGAGGAGGCTGTCTGCTCCTGTGTAGCTGGACGCTGGAAAGCCCATGGGTTGCTCTGCCCTGTTTTTCTAGGGCTGCCGAGAGTCGCGCGCGCGGGGGCTGGCAGCGAGTCCTGGGAGGGGCCATGGCATTAGGTGCATCTGTTAGATGAGCCTGCTCTGTTCACTCTAGAGGGTCTGCTCTGTCCCTGTAGTCCCATAGCCCTGGTCCTGGCCGGGACCGGACCCTCACCCACTGCCTTCACCGTGTGTGTGTGTGTGTGTGTGTGTGTGTGTGTGTGTGTTCCCGTCTGTCTTATGTTTTCTGAGTCACCACCAGAAGGGGTTTGGACTCAGCTCACACGGATCTGCTCCCCCTTCCCAAGGAAAGCCCACCTTCTCCAGACAGCGTCATGGTCACAGGCCACAGGGGACAGAATGTGCACCAGAAAGGCCAACCGGCGGCTCTGAGTGGGCAGCGCTGGACAGCCGGTACCCAACGTCCATCAGCTTGGCTGTGCAGGGCAGCTGGGGCCCATCGGGAATGGCCGGGAACGGAAGTGAGAGTGCGGCAGAGAGAAGGCCCTCGGGGCTCCATCGAGAGCTTCCCTGCGGGCAACCCTCTGGGAGTGTGCTCTCGGCCAAGGCCTGGCCCCACAGTGGAGGGGGCCGGGCCCTCTCCTGTTGGTGAGCCCTGCACCCTGTGAGTGCCCTGCCCACCCTGAGGGCAGCTGGAGCCCCACTGATCAGGCCTCATGTCCAGAATGGAAGGTGCTTAGAGAAGGCAGCCTGAGGCTCAGTGCTTCTGAAAGAAGCCTGGTACTGACTCCCATAGAGGCTGAGTAGAGGCCCCACCCAGCGCCCGACAGTCCCCACTCGATCCACCAATGGGGAAGCCGCGCTCGTGGGTGCCAGCTGGCCTCCTTCTTGGGCTGAGGAGCTCCACACCACGCAACAGCTGGAG